GTTTCCTATTCATCCTCAGTTCTAATATTCACCAGGGCCTTGTGATGGACCTGGTAGGCAGATCTGCCTCAGTTTCTCCCACTATGGGCCCCTGACACCTGCGATTCTCTCTGCTCCCACTGCCTTCCTTCCCCTCTTTACCCTCCCACCTTCTACTCATTTTCTTAGGTAAGCCTCCCTGGCTTCTCAAACAGGAGCCACTTTTTCTTCATAGGATCACAGGATTGTCCCTGAATACTTGCTCTTAAAGTGATTCTCTCCTTCCAGATAATGTATCTCCCCCTCCAGATCGTGAACCCCACCAAGGGAGCAACCATCCCTACCCTGCTCATCTCTGGTGCTCAACACATAACAGAGTGCCTGGTGTGTAGCATGGCCTCAATCCAAATCCAAGAATGAAAGACAGTGCTATTACATACATTTTACAGGTGAAAGGAGAGACTCTGAGAAGGAAGTCACTTCTTAAGGTCACATAATCTGAAGAGCTCATACTTGAACCCACGAATCCTGGTTCCCAGGTGGTTCTTTCCACTCTGTGCTGCCTGGGAAAAGGTTTTTCTTGCTATTTCTGTGGGAAATCATTTACAGTCCTGGTGTCCTCAACTGGTGATGCTCTCCAGAACATTCACAGTGGGTAACAGAATGCCCTGGTGGCTGCCACCTCCAAGGGGCCCACAGCCCGTGTCAGCACGACTCCAACATCTGATCGCTTGGTCCTCGTTGTTTCAAGAGCAGTCAACATCCCTCAAGGCAGGTCCTCAAGCACCCTGCAATTACTCCCACACTCCCAGGAGCCAGGAGCATAGGGATGGGGATAATTAACAAGGAGGGTGACAGGCCAGTCTTCATCACCAAGAATATCTCCTACCTCCTGGAATCATTTCTGCCTTAGTTATTCTATCACTTAACTCTTTCAGCATTGTTCAGAGTTCTGCTCAGAGATACTAGTACATGAGAATGTAAGCCCCACATGGGCAGGGACCTTGTCTCACTTGCTCACTGGGACATCTCCACTTGTTGGAACAGCACCAGGTACACAATGCATACTCAATAGATATTTGTTAAATGAAGGAACTGAGAGTTTACCATGTGGTAAGAACTTATTATAACTATATATTTCAGGGGCTATTATCAGTCTATTTACTACTAAGATCGTTGTCATTGTTGGTTGTTGTTGTTGTTGTGAAGTGCCATCAAGTTGGTTCTGATCCATAGTGACCCTGTATAGGGTTTCCAAGGAGCAGCTGGTGTACTTGAACCACCGACCCTGCAGTTCAAACGGCTTTGAAGTCTGGTGCATTAACCCACAGTGCCACACCAGGACTTACTGTTGGCTGTTGTTGTTGTTAAGTGCCATCGAGTCAGTACCGACTCATAGTGACCTTATGCACAGCAGAATGAAACACTGCCCGATCTTGGGCCAACCTCACTACTGTTGCCACACTTGAGTCCATCGACGCTGCCGCTTGGCCAATCCATCTCATTGGGGGTCTTCCTCTTTTTCTCTGACCCTCCACCCTATCAAACATGATATCCTTCTCCAGCGACTGGACCCTCCTGACAATATGTCCAAAGTATGAGAGACGAAGTTTGGCCATCTTGGCCTCTAAGGAGGACTGGTGCCGTCAAATCATCTCTGAGCCATAGTGACCCTATGTACAACTCTGTATGACCCTATGTACACTGAAGCCCCATTCAGTTTGGTGCCATCCCCACAACTGATGCTATGCTTGAGACCATTGCTTCTGTCATTGTGCCAATCCATCTAGTTGGGGGGGCTCTCTCTTCTTTTTTTGACTCTCCACTTTACCAAGCATGATGTCCTTCTCCAGTAACTTGTCCCTTCTGATAATATGTCTGAAGTGTGAGAGATGAAGTCTGGTCACCTTGACTTCTAAGGAGCATTCTGGTGGTTGGTACTTTTTCCAACATGGATTTGTTTGTTCTTCTGGCAGTCCACGGTACCTTTAAAATTCTACCCCAATAATCATAACTCAAACACATCAATTCTTCTCTTTATTGTCCAACTTCCACATGCATATGAGGCTATTAAAAATACAGTTTGGGTTAGCCACACCTTAGTCCTCAAACTGACATCTTTGCTCTTAAACATTTTAAAGGGGTCTCATGCAGTAAATTTGTCTAATGCAATACAAGGTTTGATTTCTTGACTGCTGCTTCTGTGAATGTTGATGGTGGATCCAAGCACAATGAATACCATTGAGAGACTGACTACTAAGATCAGGCTACCAAGATTCAGAGAGTTGAGACTTAAGATTTTTTTAAAAAAAGAAAGAAAATTAGCAAGCACTGGAACCAGGATTCAAACCTAAGCACTCTGGATCAAAGCACTAAATGGGAAAGATGGATTTTTAGGCAACAAGATAAAGATGCTCACGATTCTAGTTATGCCCAGGGAGGAGTGTGTGGAAATGAGGGCAGCTTCTAAACTAGGAGATGTGAGGCTCACTAAAGATGAGGAAACGGAATATGCAACACATTTTGAAACCAAGACTAAAGTCCCGATTCTCATGGTGGTCAAGGTCCATGAACCCAGTTTTCTGAGACTCAGGTCGGCTTCCAGCACATAACACAGGGTCCACAGCAGAAACCACTTAGGGATCGTAGGGCTGAGGGATGGATGTTCAAGGGAATGGGAAAGTCTAGTCCTTGTAGGAATGGATCCAAAGAGGTTATGTCAAGAGCTCTGGAGTGGGAGCACTGTTTGGTTTTCAGGCAAGACACTTCCTCTCTCTGGGCCAGTATTCCCTTCTATACTATGAAGGTCATTATTTTACAGTCTACAGTGACCTCTGGGATCCTTCCACATTTAACACTTGTATGACTGTATGATGTGAGTCAATTTGTAGTCTTGGAAATGGTCACCTAGTCCAATTCAATATAAGAATCGCTCCTAGGGCATTCCTACACTGGTATAAGTTTCTGTTGAATAAACCAGTAGTTATCAAATAGGGATGATTTTATCCCTGGAGGACATTTGGTAATGTTTGCACATTTTTGGTTGTCAGAATGAATGGGTGGGGGTGTGTTACTGGCATCTAGTTGGCAGAGTTGAAGAATGCTGGTAAACATCCAACGGTGCAGAGGACAGCCCTTCTCAACACAGAATTGTTGTTGTTGTTAAGTGCCGTAGAGTTGCTTTCAACTCATGGCGACTCTATAAGGTTTCCAGGGAATCACTGGTGAGTTTGAACTGCCGACCTTGTGGTTCAAACCAACTTTGCAGTCCATTGCTTTATCCCACAACAGCACACCAGGACTCCAACACAGAATTATATAGCCCCAAATGCCAATTGTGCCGAGGTTGAGAAATCCTGCCCTAGGCACAGGGTACTCATTATGTCTCTAGGGAACGCACAGCCGTGCGTGTTTGTGGTTAGGATAAGCTTGATAGGAAGCCACCACACTCCCTGTTGCTACTTGGCTTTACATAGCACGACTAGTTAACATCTAAGGACCACTAACCATAGCAATTCAGTCAACAATGATCACCTTAGAGTGCATATGTGTGGGGCTGATGTCAGAACAAGGCCTCATACAGGAAGAGGACTTCTGAAGAAGATCAGGTACAAACAAAGGGCGGTGGAACTCAGGGAGGAAGAAGTGCATTCAGTCATGGCTGGTGTCAGAGGACTGAGGGGTTTTTATAAAGGTAGGGTTAGTAATGACTGAACTGGGCCTAGAATGGTAGGATTTCCAAAGGAAGGTAGGAGCAGACAAGAGTGTTTCAGAGGTATGCAAGGTAAGAACAACCACCCAGAGACAGGAAAGGACAAGAGTTTGTTTGTGGGGTTAGACGTTGTGTTTGTCCCACTTGCTGCCCACCTCCAGTCTCATCTCTTTCCACTTGACCTGGCTACAGCTCAGTCTTGCTCATCTCGGAGCCTTGTAGATTCTATTCCCCAGCTTGGTGCAGTCCATCCCTTCTCTCTTGGTGCAGTCCATCCCTTCTCTCATCCTTTGAATCTCAGCTTCTGGCTCTTCCTCAGCGAGCCTTCCCTGACACCTTCTTCCTCCCCCTGCTATGTGCACTTCCAGCCTCATACACCTTATCTTCATAAATATGATTTCATGAAGTGTACCATGATTGCACTTTGACATTTATCTGTGTGATTATTGACTAATATCCATCTCCCAACTAGACAATGAGGGCAGATTTATGAGTGGTGCTCACTCTGGGTCGCTGGCCCAGACCCTGCACATATAGGAGCAAAAGAAATTGTTGCTGAATAGATGAAGAAAAATGGACTGTGGCAGCCTAAGTCTTGGGCCTGCCAAAGGCTAGAAAGCAAGTTTGGGCCCTTAATGTGAAGGTCTTAAATGTTAGGCTAAAGTGTTTATGGGTAGGGAGGGTTCCAGAAGACCTCTCAGTGAGGCAATGCCAAGAACACCATGATGCTCTGGGATGATGGACTGGATACAAGAAGGCAGATGGAAAAGTGAGCAGAGCTTAGAGATTAATGAGGAATCTACTTCAAGAATCTAGGGGTAAGAGGACTGGCTTGGATAGTAGTAGAGGGAGAGCAGTTTGGGTTTCTTCTTTGGATGCATTTGTCTTTTCATTCCTACCCATGCATCCTGACAGTCCCAGGGAAGAGCTGAGCAAAAGACTATCATCCTGCTCTGAGATGTAAGGAGAAGGGATGGAAGACCCCAGTGTCCTCAAGTTCTGCGACACCCTGGGCTCATGCACTTCCACCTCCTACCCCAGGCAGAGCCAAGGGAGTCAGTCTAAAGCACTGGCAAGGGAGTAAGCCAGCCAAGCAGTGGGTGGGAGGAACCCAGGGACCAGAGGCAGAATACATGTCGCTTTGTATTAGCCATACCAGCAACTTTTCCAGTCCACCCAGAGAGGAGCGAATTAATTAGAAGTTTGAGGACAAGCCAACAGCAAAGACAACACCGACACAGAAGGAGATTGCATCTCCTTTCCAATCAGGAGCAGAATGGAATGCCTTACCAGGGTCAGCTTTGCTTACCTGTGAGGTACATCTCTTCGCCTTCGGTGAACATCTGGTGGCAGCGTACACATCTGGCACAGGTTGGGTGGTAATGCTTTCCTCCTGCCTATGGAAATAAACAGATGAGGTAGGATTCGGAGCTAAGACTGCCATCCATGGCGGTGGCTGGGCTTGGACATTTCCTGGACACATCAGTGTTGTTAATGCCTTCAGGTCTCTGAGGTTGGTGGGTAGGCCACCCAGAGGAGTCTAGAGCTATCTGAAAGGCCATAGCCCACCAGGAAGCTGAATTCAGACTTCCAACCTCTGGAACAGAAAGCATATATTTCTGTAGTCTTAGTCAATGAGGTGGAAGAAACAGCTGCAAGGAAGGTTGTGCCTTGTTTACTGGCTACCAGAGATGCCAGTAACAGTGTTGATCTGGACCCCTGAGGGCCATTCACTGACCCCAATGCTCATTTCTATGCTAATCACTTTGGCAAACTCTGACAATAAACTCACAGCCAAAAGCATTTGATACATAAGAGCCCTTTAGTGCAGTTCCAGAATTTCTATATGGGAGGGGCTTGGTGCAGACACTCGTGGATGGTGGGACTTGTTTTGATGGTAAATTTTGCATATCAGAGCTTAGTTATTTTGGTAGTGGTAGGGTAAGCCTGGAGAACACTGATGAAAATTAAAGGATTGTTAAAGGTCCCCCAAGCCATCATAATTATATGATAAAACTTAATTCCAAACACATTTTCAAAGTGTTAGGGGCGGCGAGGTAGATATATTCCCAAATCTGGAGATATATGATTTATTCTAAAAAAATTAGTTAAGATTGTGGAAGGGGTAGATTTAAAACAACAACAACAACAAAAGTCCAATGTCCTTGGTTTTTCTGCCTCAAATGTTTACGAAGTTTCCACCAATGAGTCAAGGGACTTGTCATTGTCATCTAAGCAAACTACACTCAAACTTTGGAAGGAGCCTCCTATTTTCCCAAGCTGGGATGTCATGGGACGGATTCTCTTATACCATGACAAGGATAATCGGTTTAATTAGTAGCCTCTTCCTACTTTGTGCCGCTTTATCATCTCAATTATAGACTTCTTTTCCAGGATGGTGACAGTGCGTGGCAAACTGAAGCTTGGCATCTTCCTAAATGTCACACCCCACCCCAACCAAAAGAGGCTTCTTGGACGTCTTAGCAGCCCTGGGCATGGATGGTATTGAAAACGATTTGAGGGAAGAAGGGAGGCTGTGAGATCAGGATAAAAAAAGTCAGTGAAATAAGATGAAACACTTTGTTTCAAACTGAAAGTAAGAACATAGTACTGATGCTCTGAAAGGGGCTACATTAGAAGTCCTGGATAGAGTGGGAGAAAAATGTGGAACAAAAGTCAAAATCATAAAAAAAAGTCAGGCTTTCTGGTCAGTTAGAGACTGGTGGACCCCTGAGACTATGGCTTTTAGTCACCCTTCAGGTCTGAAACTGAACTCATCCCGATGGTTCAGCCAAACAATAGACAGGTCTGTAAGGGGAACACCACCACTAGGGAAGTATGCAGACCCTAATCAACCATTTGAGACCAAAAGGGCAGCATTTACCCAAGGACAGTGTTCAGAAGGGTTAGGAAAGAAGGAAAAATGGAAACAGGAAACATATAGGGAGGAAGTGGGAGAAGTAAAGTTACATTGTGAGGATTACAATCAATGGCATGAAACAACATGTGTATGAATTATTGAATGGAAAATTCTTCTGTCTGTAAACTTTCACCCAATCCACAATAAAATAAGTTTAAAAACAAAAGAAAGAAAATAGTAAACAAAATGACAGGGGTTGGTACCTGGAGAATAGGGTCATATTGGAGAGGACAGAGAAAGGAAAACAAGATTAAGAAATACAGCAAACAAGGAAATCAGTTTTGGGGTTCTCCTTGGTGAGAAAGAAATGGTATGGCTGACACTAAGCATATAGAGTTCTGTTGCTTAGGAAGAGACAGTGGGATGATCTAAGGAACCAAAGGGAAGTGGGGGTGAAAAGAATGGAGTGAGTGAGGAAGGGGAAGTGAAAATTGATCAAGTGCCTATCGTGTACCAGGCAAGGTCCTTGGGTAAAGTAAACGGTTTGTGCTTGTCCTGTAGGACAAGTCAAGTCAGTTTGAACTGCAAGGTTGGGGGCTCACACTCACCAGCTGCTCCTTGGAAACCCTATACAGAGTTGTTACATTATGGCACTGGCTCCACAGCACTTAACAACTTAACAACAACAACAACTAGTTGAAAGGTTGGTGGTTAGAATCTACCCAGTGGAAGAAGGGCCTGGTGATTTAATTCCGTAAGAATATAGTCATTGGAAATCCTATTGACTACACAGACAGCTCTATTTTGAAATACGCGGTTATCATGAGTCAGGATTGATTCTATGGCAACAGTTTTTGTGAATCAGGCAATGTGCTGGGTCCTATGGTGGATAACTGTTGTTTCCGCCTGGTCAAAATCTGCTTTTGTGATTTCCAATCTCACTGACAATTTCCCCTATTGCGATCTGGATGCTTCTCACCCACAGATCTGCAAAGACCCAACGAATTGTTCTCTTTCCTCCTTCCTCCAGAAATATTACCAAGCGTCTCCTTGCTGAAACTAGATGTTCCCTACAGTAATCCATAGGGATTAGTAGGGCTAACACACCAATAAGCATATTATAACTCCATGGCCATAGCTGTTGGTTGTGGGATGAGCCTGTGGTTGTCCAATGAAAGTCAGTCATAGGATGTTTGCTGAGTTATTAGAACAAAGCAGCTCTCTTTCCACTGGGGATGTTGGCAGATAGGATGTAAGCCTAGGATGATTGATGGTCAACTTCTCCATCATGAAGGAAAATGAAGCTGAGAATAAGGCCAATACAGAAAGAAAATGGGGCCAAGATGGCAACAGAGTTCAGATAGTTTTCTTTGAGGGCTGGATCTAGCTATGTCTGAAGCCAGGGCAATTTCTGGAATTTTACTATGAGAGCTGATGAATTGTCTTTTTGGTTTGAGCCATTTTGAGTGTTGTTTCTACACTTGCAATAATAATAAAAAAGAATCCTAATGTATTCATTAGGAGTTAAAGAAGAGTACCATTCTCCATTGATAGATATATAGACTCTTAAGACTCAGAGAAAGTAAAGAACTTACTTAAGGTTGTTGTTGTTATTAAGTATTGTGGAGTCAGTTCCAACTCATAGCGACCCTGCACAGGGTTTCTGAGGCTGTCAATCTTACGGGAGCAGAAAGCCTCATCTTTCTCCTGCGGAATCGCTGGTAGTTTCGAACTGCTTACCTTGAGGTTGGCAGCCCAACTCGTAACCACTATGCTTTACATCGCTTGAAATGCTAGTTTGAACCCAAGACTATTTCATTTTAACCCATGTTTTTCTTATAATCTCATACTACCTCAAAAGATCCCTGAATGGTTGGAACTGTGGGCATATAAAATATAAGCGCGAGCTCTGATTCTGGAGTGTTGAGTCCTATATTTTAGTTCTATTTCTCTCATAGTAACTGTGACCTTGGGAAAGCACCATCAGCTCTGGGTCTCACTTTTCTCATCCGTACAATGAAGAGGTTGAAGTAGTTGGTGGCTAAAACCCCTTTCCATCTCTAAGAGGGGAGAAAAATCAATACATTCAAGATACTAATGGAGCCTGGACAAATAGAATCAATTGAGATCCAGTCAGAACAGCTGCCTGAGAGGAATATGAGAAACAACAGACAGCACTAATATCATTCCAAAGCAGCTTGGAAATGCCTGGGCAAATTCCTATCCACAGCCTTGTGTGTATTTGAAGTTTTTTTCCTTCTTGAAAGAAAAGTCTGAATTTATAATTTCTAATCCCATTGACCCTTTCCCCCACTGCAATCTGGAAGCTTCTCTCCCATAATTCTGCAAAGACCCAACAGACTGTTCTCTTGAAGGTGATCTTTCATCACAGCCAACAGCTTTTTCTCAGTGGGTATAGTCTTTCACTGGAGCTCTGATGGCATAGTGGGTTATGTGTTGGCTAGCTGTTGAAACCACCACCTGCTCTGTGATGACGCTTTCTGCTCCCGTAAAGATTTACAGCTCTGGAAACACTATGCAAGGTTGCTATGAGTTGGAATTGGCTTGACCGGCACACAAGCAACACCACCGTCCTTAACTGTTCTGCAGAATTTGACCGGCACTCCAACTGATCCTTTTTGAAGCTCTGTCTTTTCACTGCCTTGCCACCCTGGATTGTGCCCCTATTTTCCTGATTCTCCTCTTTTTCCTCTAAGCCCCCAGTCTCTGTCACCTATAAGCACCACTTCTCAAGTTTGGCTTCAGTCTGCAATCCCCTTGGAAACACTGACAGCTCCCATGGTAGTGGTTATTATTCAAATCCAAGTGCTTTTGAAATTGACCCCTCCAGGTCTGAGCTTTGTCCCTGAGCTCTACCTACCTTTCACACTTCCTTTTTCAAACCTTCCCTGGATTTCAATCAGAACCTGTCTCAAATGGCACTCACTACATTTCTGCCCAGATCACCCACAATTCTGTGGATGAAAATGCTGGGCTTGATACTCGGTGCAACGTCTGGCCTCGTTGCAACGTGTGGCCTCTTCTCTTTCAATTTCCACATCTACAAGTTACAAAGCCATTGGAATTTTACTTACAAAAGTTGGAGACAAGAGCCTTTGCTCTTCTCATTTGTACTACAGCTCTTGAATCCTTTCTGTCTGGTCTCCCACTTCCAGTTTCTTCTTTCACACTTAGCCTTGGCATGTCATCACATTCTATACCCATGATGCAGCACTAAGCAGGCCACGCTCCAATTGCCCAGTGAATTTCAGACCAACTCCTCACACTGGCATTCCAGGTTCTTGGAAACCTGGGCCAAACCCCCTTTTCTGTGCTGCTGCTTTATGCTTTATCCTCCATGATATGTTTCATTCTTTAGCAATTCTGCATTTGTTCATTGTATTCACTCTGACCCCATACAGCTAATTCACAGAGCGATCTTAAAAAAAAACATGTAATCTTGACATGCTGCTCCATGATTCAAAACTCTCCAATGGCTCTCCATTGCACGTATTAAGGTCAAAAGCACATAAACACAGTTTACAAAGTCCTATATGATATATTCTCTGCCCTGCCCCACTCACTGATATAGTTCAATGAGAAACTGGCCTTCCTCTCTGTTTCTCTCTGCCCCCTGAATGGGTCAAGCTCATTCTTCCCCCAGCCCTCCATGTCACGGTTTCCTCTCCCATCCTTCAGGGCTCAGCTTCAATACCAGCTTCTCAAGGAGTGCTTTCTGACTGCTACTCTCTCCTGCTGAGCCCAGATGTGGTCACGAATGCCTTCTCAACACAAAAACCCACGCAACCACTAGCAACTGGCCAGATTTGGCAGAATTAATGACTCAGCTCTCAATAGCTGACTCAGTCAACTGCCCCCCGGCATCCTCAGATGAGAAAACCGAGGGCTAGAGAGGCAAAGACACTCATGCAAAATCTGTGCGTGCATTTTCAGTGAGTCAATATTAGAACCCAGTTACTCCTTTTATTTTTCCTTTACACTGAACCCTTTCCTGCTCCTAATTCTTTAAAGTGGATGGTCCTGAATTATAGGAAACAAACTTCCTGTACCTACAGGACTTCCTGTACCTGAGAGGCAGGGGGCTCAGGCAGGGTCTCAGCAAGGGTGCAGCAGTTGTCTTTCACTAGCAGAGTGAGCTGTGCATCAGAGACTGAGGAGAGCTGTTGCCATGGTGATGGACCAGCTGAGGAAGGATTTGGGAGCAAGCTGCTAGACAAGCTTGTTTTTAAGTTAACACAGCACAAAATGCTTAAAATAATAATAATAATAAAGGCTTCCATCCTCAGGCAGGGCTGGAAGAAAATCTTAATTGTTCCTCACCACCCCAGAACTCTGACTCTGGGTCCTTGTCCAAAGAAGCACAGGATTTTGCCAGCACAGCATATTTTGAACCAGAAATAATTTTGTCCACTTCCTCATTCTGGGGCATCCTGCTCAAGGTCATGCAGCAAGCTGAGTTGGAGTAGAAGAAATGGGACAGGTAGAGGTTATAAAAGGAAGGATATGGGTGGCTTGCTCCTGCTTCAGTGATAGCTTTTCAGAGTCACAGGTAATCCTGCTCAAATACTCACCTCCAAGACCCGTCCACTGATGTACCGGTCACAAGTCTCACATTTAATTCCAAACTGGGAGTGGTAGTCGGACTCGCAGTATGGAACGCCATCTCTGCAAGATGAAATCCACACAGGAAGAGGAAGTTAGGAGATCAATGGGTGGTTTTAGGACCTACTGCCAGCAGAGACTGGGCCAACGTTAGAAGCACTTGGGGGCTTGTTAAACATGCAGTCTCCCCAGACACACCTCAGATCTACTGGACAGGGCTCAGGAATCTGCATCTTGACAAGCTCCATGACCAAGGGACAAATTGCTGACCTAGGGTGACCTTTGTATAGATGGGAAAATCCAAGCTTAGAGTGGTTACATAACCTGCCCAGGCCTTGGATCCAGGATTCAAACTCAGGTAGTCTGGTTTCACATCCATGTTGTTGTGAGAATTAGAGATGAATCCTTGGACTCAACACTGTGCTAGCTGGTAGTTGTTGTTGTTAAGTGCCATCGAGTCGGTTCCGACCCATAGCGACCCTGTACAGGGTTTCCTAGGGTAGTTAGTACTCAGCAAATAGCAGCTTGAAAATTGCTATGGCTGCTGGGAAGAATTTCCAAAGAAGCAGTTTGGTGCTTAGTCTGGGGCCAAGTCTGTATCCAGGTTTGGGAGGTCTCAGAGAGCATAATATTGAGTTCTAATATTGACTTACTTCTGGGTCCCACCTACCTTCAAGAACTAAGGAGAAAGGGGCACTATTTTGTACAACAAAACCTGGCTCAGATGCAGAGATGCCTAATTGATAGGGTATCATTTTTCCATCTCATCGTTTTGCCACACTGGGATGATCAGGAGCTCACACTGCACAACAGGGCAGCGTGTTCCTGGAGGAGCAGCAGCAACCAGGACAGATGTCTAGCAAAGGTCCACAAGACAAGGACTTGTTTTTGAACACAAGGGACAATCTTTCCCCACGTCCAAGTCCTCAATCTGTGTGATAGGAGGGTAACTCTGTAGGAAGATGACATCATTGCTAGGAAGTGGGTATAATGAGCCAGCAAAATTTGGGTGTACATGCCAAGACAACCTCATTTGCACCCGTGGGTTGGTGAGGCCTTGGGAAATTTGGAACATACATGATTGTAAAAAGAAGCAGATGATAAAATTAATATTTACTGGGCACACTAGGTATAAAGCACAGATCTCTTAGTGTTTGTTCAACTCTAAAAGTAGGTCTTCTACAAATGGTAGAAATATTTGCAAGTGTTTGATCTTTCTGAAAAATGAGGAAACTGAGGCTCGGAGAGGTTGAGCCCCTTGCCCAGGTCACACAGAATGGGTTAAACTAAGCATTGAACTCTGGAGCTTGGGACTCTATATGCACCTGCGGCCCTGCTGGCAGAAGACTGAGGAGAGAGGTGTATGTCACAGCCCCCCCTAACTCCCCACATCTCTGTCTTCTTGTCCTTCTTTTCTCCCTCTGATGCCTTCCCTCTAGGTCTTCTCCAGCCTTACTTCTCCTTGAGTCCCACTTGACTGCTCAGGGTAGAGGGAGGTCTGTGAGCAGCAGCATGGAGCTTGGGATCCACAGATCAAGAGGAAAGGAGCAGAGGGAGGCAGGTGACCTCTGGTGATGAGAATCACTCACATCACTGGCTCAGGCCCTCTGTCTCTCTCCCTCTCCCTCTCTCTCTCTCTGCGGGGCTAGAGGCAGGCTGCAGAAGGTGTGATGGGCAGTCTGCACGGGGTACTCTTCACAGGAACCCTGAGCAAACTCTTACTCTCCAAGAGATTCTGACTTGAGCTCACAGACTCCTGGCTGGAGATACCACAGGGCACTCCTTACTTGGCAAGCACAGAGGGAATGCCAAACTCCCACTAGCATGGCATTCCAAACTCTCCATGATCTGACCTTGGTTCACCTCTGCAGCTTGAGACTCTGCTCCATCTAAGCACACACCTAAGCTCCAGCAAACAGGACCTTGTATTCAGCACTTGCTCACCGCCCTGCCTTTGCCCAGCCTGTGCATTTTGATAGAAGCTTCCCTTCTCTACATTTTCAAATCTCTTCTTTTTCAAGGTCAACTCCACTACCACCTCCTTCCATGAAGGTCTCACAGATCCAAATTCTACTTCCTGTTAATTAGATCCCTAGTTGGGGATTTGAACCCACACAATGATATAGTAAAAGAGAGGTTGAGTAATCTGCTTTTATTAAGATTACAGTTAAGATAACTGTTCTACTCTTTAAATAACACATGTTGCCAGCATTGAATCAATGGCAACAGGTTAGATTTTTTGGTTTTCACTTGTACTCTGACAAAGATACCTGACAAGCATCAATTTCCTCATCTGCTGTTAATAGTAGCTCACTTGGAGTTCCCTTTGGGGAAGCCACCCCTCCCCAGTTACTGTGGTTCACAAAGGTTGCTCCCTGGCTCTCAGGCTCAGACTCTTCTGGCCAGTGATTAGGCATGGGACCTGAAAGTCCAACCTACTGCCCTCGACTCGATTCCAACTCACAAGGACCCTATATCGGGTTTTCAAGGCTTTAAATCTTTATGGGAACAGACAGCCTTATCTTTCTCCTGAGGAGTGGCTGGTGGGCTTGAACTGGCAACCTTATGTTTAGCAGTCCAATGCTTATCTTACAGGGCCACCAAGGCTCCTTAAGCATGGGACCTAACAGGCAGCCTTGGGACTTTTATTGGAATTCTTGGGAAAGAACCTCTCTCTCTGTTCGATTTGCTGTCTATAGAAAGCCGGAGTTGGGGGTGATCATTTTTGTTACCATTTGGGAAATGCCTGCATAAGAATTGATCCAATTCAGAGGCAAGCGAGCTAAGTGAAAAACAGAAAAAGTGACAGAGGGCTCTGAAGTCCCAAAGTCCTGAATGCAGCCCTAACTGAAGCAAGACGTACCTCTGGTCTACCCACTTTCATGAGCCAATAAACTCTCATTTTTGTTTCTCAGTGATTTTGAGTTGGATGTGCTGTCACTTATGACCAAAAAGTCTTAAAGAATAAAGTTTATCTTGAGCTCTCATTGCATATCACTTTGTGTCATAATTCTTCATGTTTAGAACTTAGTTCCCCTGTTGTTGTTGTTGTTAAGTGTCTTCGTGTCAGTTCTGACCCATAGCGATCCTGTATAGGGTTTCCAAGGCTGTAAATCTTTCTCCTGTGGAAAAGCCTCATCTTTCTCCTGCGGAGCAGCTGGTTGTTTCGAACTGCTAACCTTAAGATTTGCAGCCTGATTCATAACCACTACGCTACCAGAGCTCCTTGCTCCCTGTGAGACTGTACATTTCTTGATATCAGAGACCATGGATGATGCAAACACTTGCTATTTTCTAGTGTCGATTCAGAGAGTGTTACCTAAGGTTTACCTGTGGTCACAAAGCAACCAAGTTGTGGGTACTGTAGCCATAACTTATTCTAGGTAGTTGCGAAAGTAGATGTGTTGTCCAGTGCTATAGTGTGCAGACCACTGGGAGTTGACTCTTCTCTTCTAATAACTTTCTGTGTCAATCATCGACTTTCATTCAAGTAAACTCATTCAACAACTGCATGATTGACTTTAGGTGGGGCTACAGCAATGAATAAAACAAAGTCCTTGTCCCGGTGGAGACAGAAATTAAAACACTACTAAATGGAGCAAGGTCTTACCACTTCCTCTAATTCTCAGGTAGTTATGGGGGTTTAATGTGACAATCCACAAAAGCAGCTAAATCAGTTCCTCGTGCATCATAAAAGCTCAGTGCATGGTTGTTGTTGTTAGTTGCTATCAAGTCAAATTCCAACTCTTAGTGACCCTGTATAAGGGTTTCCAGTTGGTGGGTTTGAACTGGCCATCTTAGTATAGGCAGTATTGATATTGTACTTACAAAGTACAGTAAACATATGATTAGGAATGTTGACAGCTGTATGAAGGAAACAAACAAGAGCACTGTGAGGGCAGTAATGTGGGCAGTAACGGAGGTGGCAAGAGATGGTGTGAGGCTTCTCTGACGAGCCTCACATGGGAGCTGAGATCAGCAAGAAGAAAAGAAACAGACATGTGACAAGCAGGGGAGAACATTTCAGGTGGAAGAAACACCATGGTGGAGGCAGGGTGGTTCTGGGAGTGGGAAAGATGCTGTTGCAGCCCAAGTGCGGTGACCAGACAGAACACCAAGGGGGATGAAGCAGGAGATTCAGGAGGGGTCGGTGGGGTGGAAGACCCACTTGCTAATGTACTCCCCGGTGAGGATGACGCTGCAGGTTTGGCATTTGAAGCAGCTGACGTGCCACTGCTTGTCCAGAGCCAGGAGTGACTGGCCATGCTTGATCTCTTCCTTGCATCCAGCACAATCTGCAAAGACAAGTGGAGTCTGCTGAAGAAGAGAACATCCGGGACCCTTGGACCACTGACCATCATTCTGTGGCCAAGTCAAGCACACTCCTCCCAGGATACTAGTCCTCCCACAGCTGCTCCCGCTTGGCAGTGGCACCTGCCCAAGCACACTGTCAGGTGAGAGATAAGCAGTCTCTGACCTCTTGAAAAGAGGTAGAGGTCTTGGTGTGAGGGAGAAAGAGACCCAAGCATTCCTACAGTTTCTCAATCATCATTCTGACTACTGTTCATTCACAGAGGACCCACCTGCACTGCCTTCACCTGGCCCCAAAGCTGCTACCTGTCCTCCCAGACTGGAATCTCTATACCCTCAGGACTGGGATCTCAGTAGTACCTGGGAGTGCAGATGGACATCGCCTCCGGCCCCACCCCAGACTGAATTTTAACAAGATCTCTAGGTAATTCATAAGCAGGTGACATTTGGGAAACACTGCTTTAGGGAGAGGAAAAGTATGTATATATTTTTGCTTACTCTTGCTTAATGTCTGTGTCTATGTTTTGTGGTTAAATCTATTCAATTGCTTAGCATGGCAATTGACACATAGTAGGAACTCTGAATATTGGGCGAATGAGTATGAGTAATGGGGTTTATAACATCCAGGCAAAGTGTAGAAGTTACCATGCCCACCCACCATAAAAACATGTGTTGGTGTACCGAACATTTGCATCCCAAGTAGGAAGGATTAAAGAGTCTGCTGAGACTGTCTCTTTCCCTGTCACCATGGAATATACACTGGGCCAACAGACAATGGGGTGGGCCAAGTGTTCTGCCTGTTGCTCAACGAACATCTCGGGAGGGGCAGGAAACAGAGCTAGAGTCCAAGGTACTTGGGAGCTGCTGGGAATTCAGGACTAGCTGACCGGATGGCCCACTTTAGAGAAGGAATGGTTCATGGGACAAAGTTTACTAAAGGACAAACCTCCCTTATAGACCCAGGGCAGTGAGTGGAAAAGGCACTACACACAAAGTTAGGAAAGCCTGGCTAGGCAGCTGTCATGGTCAGCTGGAAGCCATGTGTCTGGGGTGGGCGGTGTATCCTGAAGCCTGTGGGAGGTTGTGGGACCCTGATGAAGTGTTGTGTATGTCTACTGCCATAGTCCTCCTGACTCAGGCTGTTTAACACCTTTCTAATATCCCTTAGCCCAAGCCAGGGGCAGAAAGCTCTTAGATTGCAAAATACTTCAAGCTCCAAACCTTCAGTTGGTTTCTCTATAGAAATTTGGCATTTATCTCTTTCTCCTGGGATAGTCCCCTACTCCCACCTCCACCCCCAGTCACTATGGGCTTCGGAGTATAATAGTTTAGCTAGGTCAAGGTCAGGCTACACTGGCCTCATCTATAGACAGACAGGCATCTGAAGGGCTGAATGTCAGTGTAGAAGAAGCTGAGGGTGGCAGGAACCTTGTCAAGCTTTTTAGGCCACAAAGATGTGTCTCTGGCAGCCTCCGTGGAGGGCTTTATAATTCCATAGAGCTCAGAGGGCATAGAGCATTGGGTTAGACCACCCACTCCATGCAGGAATCCACAGAATTCTCAACAGGTGGGTACCATTCTCTGCTCAATCACCTCCAGCAGTGGGCAGCTTGCCCCCACTTGAGGAAGTTCACTTTGCCTTTGGACAGATATGATGATTAAGAATCTCTTCTTTAGGTGGAGTGAGATCTGACTCCTTGCAACTTCTCCCTATTGTTATACAACCAAGAATAACCTGCCTTTTTCCCACATGACAGTTATTTCCCACAACAACAGTTTCTTCCTCCACCTTCATTCCTTGGACTTCACTTTTCTTGGCTTTATATTGTCATTCAGTTGTGGATTTTAAGGATGTAGGCATGCTACTAGCCCACAACATGATTTTACCCTTTTAATCAAACTATTTTGAATAAGCTGATTCCATTCTTGGCCATATTTAAGTGAGTGACACATCTAAGATAAATTTAGAATCTTGTGTTACAATTTAGGAGTTAGTACAGTACAGTGGTTATGAGGCTGGGCTGAGGTCAGGCTGCTTAGAGGAGAATCCCAGTCTCTCTTTTCACTAGTCTGTGTGAGCTCTAGCCTCAGCTTCCTCAGCTAGATCTACAATATCTTTGTCACAAAGTTGGTGTGAAGACAAACTGAAATCAGGCCTGTAGGACTTAGCACAATACTTGTCATGTATGTGTTCACTCAGTGGTGTTTGTTACTATTGCTTCACATTTTAAAAAACTCATTTTCTGTGCATTCTCCACACTCTGATTGGAGACCAGAAGCAATATTCCTGTTGTAGGGAAGTCCTGTGGATCCCTCCTGAGAATTCTGGGGCATCTTTTCCATGTGGTTTTTCTTTTCATGGTATACTGGTGAGTCTCCTTTGTACTGGTTTCATACTTACCAAGACATTTCTATCTGTCTTCTTTCTCCTTTCATTCCTGGCCATCAGTGGAGTCTCAGGCACCCTATCCCAGAGCCCTTAGTTCCGGTGCAGTAAGCAGGGTCAGGAAAACCACACCCTGTCCTGGGCTGGTTTCTGCATAGCCAGCTGTCCACTCCTCCCATGTTCTGCTCTATTCCAAAATTGCTATCTTCAGCTGGCAGAAAGTATGATACCATCACCTGTTCCTCCCAACTCCTTCAGTTTATGACTGAGGTATCTAAGGACCCAGCTCTCTCATTTTTACTTTCATTGACTGTGTTATTCATTCACTTATGTCAGCAAAAAGAGTAGAAACTGGTGGGTTTTGTAAGTTGTAGCCAATTTTCCACTTGTTTTAGGACACTAATCCCAGAAGACAGGATCCCTTCCAGTTAGAAAGTCATATTTCTGACATAGAGTGGGACCAGGCTCCAGAGTCACACAGCCTGAGCTTAAATCCCAGTTGCACCACTTTATTGTCTGGGTGATTTTGGGTAAGTCATTTATGCTCTTAGAACCTCAGTTTTCCCATCTATAAACTAGTTTTCAGAATAACCTCTTTACAGGGTTATTGTAATGATTACATAAAATGTTATGCATGTAACACTTATTTCAGTATGAGGCAATAGCAACAGCCAATACATTTTAGCAGTGGTGATGGTAGTGATAGTGATGGTTATGTTAGTGATAGTAGAATGATGATGGTGAGGATGGGGGTGATGGTGATGTGATGGGGTGGTGGTGGTGATGGTGGGGGTGATGGTGATGTGATGGGGGGGTGGTGGTGATGGTGGAGGGGATGTGATGATGATGGTGGAGGTGGTGGTGATAGCGGAGGTGATGGTGATGTGAGGCAGTATCACGTGGTGGTGATGGCGGTAATGATGGTGATGGTGGAGGTGATGGTGATGGTTATGGTGGGGATGATGGTGATGTGATGACGTAGCGGTGGTAATGATGATGGTGGAGGTGGTAGTGATGGTGGTGATGGTGACATGAGGTAGGTTGTGGTGATGGTGGTAATGAGGGTGATGGTGGAGATGTTACTGATTCTTTTCAGTGCGGTCCATAGGAAACCTTTCTTCTTGTGGTAATGGCATCATTTTCTCTTGACAGTTTTTGAGTATTCTTTATGGTCTCTGTTGCACAGATATTTCTAGAATGATTTTATTCACTGTCCAGGGATGAACTTCACATTTCCATAACTTTAAAAACCCACACTTAAAAAATCTGTTTTCCACTTTTACAATGTGGTTTTCTTTTTCAGCAGTCTCTCATATCTGGTTTTGGTTTCCAATATCCCATGGGTATGCAGAAGACCTTCCAACCTCTCTTCTAGTCAGGAGACTAACTTGTGCTTGTAGCATAACACTCACCACCTTTGGAGAAGACACATTTCTATAAAACATATGCATTTTAGATCCACAGATAGATGTCTTCTCTGTGAGTGACGAGAGGCCACAATCCTGAGTCCTCTTACTGGAAACTGCCTATTTACTGGCTTGCTCACCTTTGCTCACTTTTCCCACCTTTCCTAGCCATTCTCCATTAATTCTTCATCTGTAAAAGTATGAGAGAGACATTTAGGAACCTCTCCTTGATGATAGGTTCCCATTCAGCTCCCAGACTCAGCTGAGGGAATCTTCCACTCTTACAGACTCATGCTGTATACAGCATGAAGCAACACAGTTGACAGAAAGAGCAACCAGAATACAGGAATCCTAGGCCCAGTCCTTTTTTGGTGTGCTGGTATACTAAATTTCCAAGCCAATAACATCTCTAGCATTATATTTACAGATTATATGCATGATAACATGTTGGTTTGACTCCTTTATACTAGTACATCTGCTTCCCACAACACTCCTGTAAGGAAGATTAGAGCAAGGAATTCCATCCTTCTTTTTCAGCTGGATAAACTGAGTCTCAGGCAACGCTTTGCTTCATGCTTTGCTTCATGCAGAAGGTTGGCAGCCTCCTGATTCCCAGCTTGCCTTGCTCTCTATCTCCTCCCACAAAGTCCCATTAGTCTGTGGCTCCTATACTGCATCTCAGCATCTGGTCTTGCTGTCCTCTGGGTAATGCTTTCAAAGAGTTAAGAAGGATAATAGTGTGTGCGCTCAGTCACCTTGAGATAGAGACCTGGTCAAAGCAGCTAACAGTTCTTGGGCATCAAGGACATGGAAGAAAGAGCAGATCTGATTCGCATGAAAGGGAGGGTGAGGAAGGGAGTCTTCCCAATGTCTTTCTCCCCAGCTCGCCATGGCTGGACAGACTTTAATGGAACTCCTGGGAACCTAGCCCTGCTGACTCGGAGGTCTGTGCTCACCCCTCAGTTGGAAGCAGCCCTACCTAGTGTGCTGACTCTGCTAGTGCTGTGGCCGGCAGCCCCCACACTGCACGGTGATGTAGCATAGCATGCTAATGGGTTTTCATTGATTCTGCCCATGAGGCTGGTAAGAGTGTCATATAACATGAAAGAATGCTGGAGCCGGAGGCAAGCATGCCTTTCTGAGACCCAGGGGGTGGATCTATATGTGGAGGACGCACTCAATCAGTAGCTCACAAGGGTGTCTGGGAGCAATGATTTAGACATCTTTTTTCTCGATACATTGGTATGGAATGGATATTTCACAAACTAGAATGCTCACTCTGAGGCGCACTCTTAGTCCTCAAGTTTTTTTTTTTTCCAAATTTGTGGTAATGAAACCTAACACTTCTCTCAGCATGGTATATGCCCGCTTCTCTTCCTTACACAGTGGTTGGACTTCCATCTTAGGAGCAGCAGCGAATGAGTCACACATGAAACTTACTAAGAATGTCAGTTTCTAAGTTTCACCATCTAAGGTGGGTCCAGAAATCCATGTTTTCACAAATTCCACAATTTCCATGGAATGAACTCTGAAAGACATGGGCACAGCCCTCATGTTCGCTCCCAGAACACCTCATCTTGCCTTTTTGTAGATTATGCCTGCAAATTCTCTTTTAGTGGAATTTGTAAAAATGGAGAATCACTGGTTGAAGAAAGAATTGATCAGCTCATGGTGCGGATTTAGCTCAGGGGTGGGCCCCCCAGCTACTGAATCCAGGAGGGGAGATAAGATCAAGAACATAGCTTGTCCCAAAAGACAACACCCAAGTCATCACTGCTTACAGCCAGACAGCCTGCTTTCCTGCATTTGTGCTTACAGAAACTTGTTCTGCTTGCACGGGCTATCTGCCAACTGAGTCATGCTTCAGGTGTCCTCCAGGCTGGGCTCTCCCCTGCTTGCCTACAGTGCAGGGACAGGGGTGCCTAGAGAGACAGCACCCACAGACAGAAAGGTACCCAGAGGGGAGAACTCACGGCTTGGTCCTCGGATCTTGATGGGCTTACTGCTGGTCATGGACTGGGAGCATGTCTGGCACACACATTCTTTACCACTGAAGGTTACCTTGTCTCCAATGGGGAAAGGCTTCCTGCAAGGGGCAAGAGGGAGAGATTCAGCACCCCTCTCTTGAGGAATCCTCTGGCTGTTGGCAACTTGACAAAACACATGCTCACAGCACTTTGGTAAGACACACGTTTGTCTTTAGAGCACTAGGTAATTCAAAGGCTATTCACAGTGACTGGCTGCCTACATAACTCCATTGCCAGAACTGAAGGCTCAGTTGGGCCAATCTCAGGATTTGGTACAGGGAGAATCGTAACACTTAGGTGAGTCTATGTTTTCTTATCTGTAAATAAAGAGGCTAGTAACTCCTCATAGAGTTATTTCTTCTGCCTGGAAGGACTTTTCCATCCTAACACAACATATCCCCATTTGCCAAGGAACACTCACTCAAATTCCAGACTTACCAACATTTCTCCCTTTCAGCACCCAGCAGTTCTTAAAATCCAACAGGAAGCTCCTAAATCTCTGTATCTGTGCAAATGTTCAGGGGGTCTTAAACCAGTGTAGATGCTGCCTTCCCAGTTAAATGATATGCTGTACACAGAATCCCCAGCATGATGAGTGCATCGAACAAAGCTGCCCACTATACTGACTCTGAGCATAACCCCTGGCGTAAGCTTCCAGTGATGCCACCACCTTTGTACTAGCAATGTGGGACAACAGAGTGGAGGCTAAGGTGAAGGTTAGGGGAGCCATGGCCCCAGGGTGGCAAAATACCTGACGTGACTTTGGACAGTCACCGCATCTCTCTAGGGTTTGGCATGAACCTCATTGTGCTAACTTCTGATGGGTCTGGTGTTCCAAGGCCCAGGGCCTAGGTTTTAAAACATGAATGAATTTCAATGGGTAATTATATTTTCTTATATAGTGTGTCATTACAGTCTCATTCAGAAATTGTTCTGTTACTCTAACTGGTTACTAGCTAGTGATTATTGTTGTTGTTAAGTACTGTTGAATAGGTTTCAACTCATAGTGACCCTGTATAGGGTTAGTGAGGCTGTAAGTCTTTGCAGGGGCAGAAAGCCTCATTTTTATTCCACAGAGAAGCTGGTAGGCTCAAACGACCGACTTCATGGTTTTCAGTACAGTGTTTATCCTACAGAGCCATGGGACTCCCAGTGATTATCAAATTGGAAGAATAATTAATCTGTAAATTCCTTTTCTAAAAAAAAAAAAAAAAATTACATATTTATTGTAACCATGCTTTACTCTTGAAAGTGGACAATACTAGAAAGATGTTTACTTGTGTTTTATTGACTATGCAAAGATTTTTGACTATGTAGATTCTGGCAAGCTGTATAGTTAACAATCTATAATATGGATGGCAAGAATAGGTATCCCAGGACACTATAAATTGTGCTCATGAGGAACCTGTACCAAGAGGCAGTTGCTAGAATGGAGCAAGAGGATGCTAAAGGTTTAAAATCAGGAAACACATGTGCCAGGGTTATATTCTTTTACATTCATTCTGTGTTGGGGACCGCAAGCACTGAGATGCTGAGGCCCTGTGTCATGGACGAAAATCCAACACGAAGGCCCCACTCAGGATTGCTAGCCAGGGACCCTGAGGGCCAAAGGAAGTGACCTCCTGATGTCCTGGGTTCACATGGACCCTGAGGGCCAAGGAAGTGTCCTACTGACGTCCTGAGTTCATTGGTTTTTGTGAAATCACTGGTGGGCTACCTCTGTATAATTTTCTTTGGTCTTATTATTCATTCTATGCTTCTAACTCCAGTAATTGTAGCTTCTGAGAAAATGGTTTCTTATGTGCCTCTCTTAATGTCTCCACTGTGTTGGCAGTGCGTAGGGTCCTGGGAACAAATCTCTCTGAGGAATAAACTCTGGCCACCTGGCAAGAATGTCCAAACTGTTCTTTATCAAATTATTCAGTTATGTTTGATATTAACTTAATACATGAGCTCTTGATATCCATAAACCATATTAAAACCAAAACCCTTTCTAAAGTCAAGGCCGTAAAAGTTCCTAAGGCAAGTTTGCTGGGATTACGCAAAGAGGCTCTGGAGAGAATTCACCCAAAGTATTCACTCAAAGTAGATTGGTAAATTCCGGGAGTATTGTTCAAGGAATAATAGTAGCAGTGCCTTCAAACTGTCCCCAGGTGTAAACCATTAACCCAGAAGTCCTCCTTCCTCCTGAAAGCCTAAGCCAGGTAGCTGAAACAGCTTGACTCTCTTCAGACCTTTTAAATCCTTTTCACCTTTACCCATTAAAGATTAAGCGCTATAGGTATGTTAATTAGCCTTGAGAAACCTCAAGTTGCTGCCTTAGGATTTGAGCCCAAAAAGTCATTTATAAACAGTTTGCTTGAATTTTTGGAAAATTAAGAATGTTAGATTATTAAGGCAATTTGCGATGTATATTTTAGAATTTGTCCCTGTAAATCATTGTGTCCTGTTTTGAATGATTAATCACATTTCATTTCTGTACCCTGTCTTAATAATCCCCTTCTTCCTTTGTGTAAAATCCCTCCCTGAAATAAAAGACGGATGCAGATTGAATCCTGCATGCATTACTGCTTGCAGGGCCAAGCTTTACAGCCATGCTGCTTGCCATGCAGGGTCTGTCTGCCAGTTTTGCATCCACTCTGGTCTCGGGGTGTCTTTGTTTCTCTCGTCACGTCTTTGTGTATATTCTTTCTCTATCTCTTTTGCCGCCAGATCTCCCTACTTCGTGAACCAAATTTCCCAGTCGAGGCAGGTCCCTGACAATTCTGTATGCTGAGCAAATAATCTGAGAAGCTGGATTATGTGAAGAAGAATGTGGCATCAGGACTAGAGGACGACCCATTAACAATCTTACTTGTTGATGAGACAACCTTACTAGTTTCAAATGAAGAGGGCTTAAATTACTTACTGATGAAGATCAGTATGAATTGCACATTAATAAAAGAAAACAAAAATCCTCATCACTGAAGCAATAGATAACATTATGATAAATACAGAAAAGATTGTTGAAGTTGTCAAAGACTTCATTTTGCTTCTTGTTGTTGTTGTTGTTATGTGCCATCGAGTCGGTTCCGACCCATAGCGACCCTGTATAGGGTTTCCAAGGGTGTAAATCTTTACGGGAGTAGAAAGCCTCATCTTTCTCCTGCGGAGCAGCTGGTAGTTTCGAACCGCTGACCTTAAGGTTTGCAGCCCGATTAGTAACCACTATGCTACCAGAGCTATCCACCATCAATCCTCATGGAAGCAGCACTCAAGACATATTGTATTAGGCAAATCTGCTGCACAAGACCCCTTTAAAGTTTTCAAGAGCAAAGATATCAGTTTGAAGACTGAGGTGAGCCTGATCCAAGCCATAGTATTTCTAATAGCCTCATATGCATGAGAAAGTTGAACACTGAATAAGGAAGACCACAGAAGAACTGATGCATTTGAGTTGTGGTGTTGGAGAAGAATATTGAAAGCACCATGGGCTGCCTGAATAACAAACAACTATGTGTTGGAAGAAGTACTGCCAGATGCTGCTTGGAAGCCAGGATGGCAAAACTTTGTCTCTCATATTTTGGACATATCAGGAGGGGGCAGTCCCTGGAGACAGACATTAGGCTTGGTAAAGTGGTGGGTCAGTGAAAAAGAAGATGACCCTCAATGAGATGGATTGGTACAGTGACAGCAGCAAGGGACTTAAGAGTAACAACAATTGTGAGGATGGTGAAGGACCGGGCAGTGTTTTTTTCTATTGTGCCCAGGGTCACTATGAGTCTGCACCGATTCAATATCACCTAACAACAAAAAAACAAATGCTTTACTCCAGAGACGTCCATTACATTAAAAAAAAATGAACTTCATTTTCTTGGGGGAAACTTTTAAGTTTACAGAAAAACTGCAGAAAAGTAGAGTTCCTATTCTTCCTCTTTCCTCATTAAATTTTAATGTATTTGTAGGCAAGGCTGAGGTTTTCTCTAGCTTTTCATCTCGTTGACACAGTGCTGACATACAGGGGGCCCTCAATGTATGTCTGCTAAATGAATAAAAGAGTGAGAAATGGAGGGAGGGGGGCTGGAGTAGTGGCTATCCCTGTCTAGAGAGATCCAAAAGTGGCTAGATTATTATAATTATGATAATACAAAGAATAATAAGAGTAGACCCATTTGCATACCAGCCACTGAACTGTGGTCTTTTATAACCTCATTTGTGACATCTCTTGAAACTGGAGTCACTTTGATTCCTATTTCACAGATGAAGAAGCTAAGGCTTACAGAGGTGGGGTACCTTACTAGGGTCACCCTGACAGCACGAGGCGTCACCAGCACGATGGAGGAAGACTATAAATGGACACCCTGTACTACATGCTGGGGAGGGTGTGGGAGCCTGACCCAGGTCTCCCCTTTCCAAACTGAGTCTGTCAGGCTAGGGCTACTCAGAGGTTCATCTGGGAGCCTCTTGACAGAGCATGTGGGACTTGGATGCTCACTCTGCTTTCATTACAGGCAATGGGTGTTCTTCATGAGATTACATTTGAAAAAAGGTTTTAGGGGCTAGATGATTTGAAGACCACTATCCCAAATGGCCTAGATTCTAAAAATACAGGTGTCCAATGTGAAACCTGCTAATCCCAGAACTACTTGGTGGAGGGCCATTTCTTCCCTTCCCCTGGGCTCCACAGAGGCTCCCAGCCCCACTGCCCCCAACTGCTTACCTGCACAGACTGCACACGAAGCACTTGGGGTGATAGGTGCGGCCCAGGGCAGAGATGACCTCGCCTGTGATGAAGTCCCGGCAACTGTCGCAGCGAGTGCCATAGAGTTGCTGGTAGTCCTGGGTACAGATGTACTCCTGGTTCTTGAAGAAGAAGCCCGACTGGGCCAGGCCACAGCCACACACTTGGGGGAACAAGGAGGCAAGGGAAGGTTAAGTTCAGCCTCTTGGGGAAAGGATGACATCTGGTCATATCATGTACTCATCAGACCTCATAGGGCAAGTATCCCTCAAAGTGTGTCCTAAAGACCACTTGCATCTGAAACATTTGGGGAACTCGTTAAGAGGCAGATGATTGGGGCTGAATCAGTCGATCTGGGGACATTTTAACATACTTCCAGGTGATTACATTGAACACTGAGTGAGAACCCCTCATGCCATTGGAGTCTCTCAATGCAGAATGCATGGATGAAAAGCTTAAGGTCATGGTGGCTCACACAACTCTGTACAGCTACTAGTATCATGAATTTGATAACAGGATTAGCCTGTTAGACATTACCTGGGCACTTCTATGTGTATGATTCTGTGCCAGGACTGAATAGTGTGGGAACCACATCTTACAAATCCTAAATGAGACAATTTACGATAGCAATGGGAGGGTGTTTACAATCTGTTCTTACCAGAGCATGAAGGTGAGCTGTTCCTAACTAAGAGTGATAAGACACATTGCAAGGTGCTAACCATGTATTCAGAGAGAATAACATATAGAAAACTGTCAGATATATGGGTGTGGGGTCTGCCTGTGGTGCCAGCACAATTGCTAAGTGGAGCGGGAAGGTCATGGGACACTTGAAGCACACTGAGGAGGACCAGAATGTGTATAAGAAATAAGAAGCCATGTTCATGTGGAAGTGGGCTGCAGTGGGGAGGTGTTTGTTGGTGTGGAGGAAAGAGATGCATGAAAAGAACATCCAGGCCAGTTGGAAGAGAACCTGAATCTAATGAAAGAACACAAAGAGCATTTGTGCAATGCTGAGAGACCATGGATAATTCTCCTCTGCCTCCAGGATCAGCACTGGACAGCGAAACACAAGGTCAGCAGTTCACACCCACCAACTGTTCCATGGAAACTACACAGGGTTGCTATGAGTCGGAACCTAATCAACAGCACGTAACAATGACAGTTTTTAGAAGCTTTAGATTTTTGGTGGGGGGGAGGTGGATTTCAAATATATACAAAAGCAGAGAGAAGATGATAGTGATGGGTCATCCGGCTGCCAAATTGACTAACTGCATTCATGGCTTTTGAATAGAGAAGCAATGTGATTCATAAGGTATTTTGTAAAGTCTCTTAGGGACAACATAAACACAGATGACAGATGGATAGTGACTTATAGGTGTCTGGACCACTGATTCACATGGGGCCTACCTCCCAAAGAACTGAGAATTTGAGAAATGAAGTTTCCCTCTGAAAGTTAAGCTACAAAAATCAACCCATAATAGTTGAGCAGGAAGAGGCTGAGTGTATTCATCCAGCCAACACAAGTATGGAACAGTCAAGAAGAGGGATGCAAGGAATCAAAGAAAGGGAACTGGGCATTCCATTCAAGTTCTATGACCAGCTCCCCTGGCTCTGAGTCTGTTCTGTGTTCACCAAGCGACTGTCTATTGACTTTCCAAATAGGCTGTCTTTGGGGGAGAAGGAGCTGGCCAGGTCACAAAGAACCAATTCAACTGAGAGTTACAGCTCTTGTTGTACATTAATCAACGGACACTGTGGTTTAATACATTGTTTTCCCAAGGACTTCATTAACACAAATCAGATTCTCAAGTGTCATCATGATAGGGGAAACCACGGAGATGGAATTTCCAAACCTGCAAGTTTAAAGACCAAGCCTGGGGCTTGCAGTGCTTTCACGCCAGTAAATACTACCTCATCTTTAACAGGAAAAGTTGGTCTGCAAAAGCAGTAAGGTTCAAAAATAGGAGGAATTTTCAGGTGAATGTCAGAAATATTTCACAATAATTTGTTCACCTGTGAGGGCCAGAGACAGATAGGTTAAAAAGATCAGGCAGAGGGAGGAGGAGGGCAGCTCTGGAGGTCACAGGGCAGTGAAGACGCAGTGCTCTAGGAATCACTATTCTTTAGGTGACAGTGAACTTGGCTTTTTTCCCTTTGGGGTTTTTGTTGACTTATCTGTAAATGAAGAGGCTGGACTAGAAACGACCTGACTTTTCTTCTAGAATCGATGTCCTATGAGCCTACCGGAAGGAGAGCTTACTTTAGGGCTTACCATGTATCTGCACATGGTAGACTCAGTGTGTAGTGGAGCTGGATGTCTCTGAAGTACACCCCATGGAAAGGCAGGGCATATGAGTGGGGTGGGATTGGAGGTGAGAAGTGGGGAAGGCTTCATCTTCCATCAGGTCTTATGGAAATTCCTCACAGCCAACAATGCCTGGTAGTGTAGGCCAGAATACAAGCTGTTCTGAGGCATACAGGTGGCAGATCAATTGACTTCATGCTGTGGAATTAGTAAGGTCATGGCCTGCAACCTCGTTGGAAATAGCTCCTGTTTTTTCCCTTCTTTTCTCTCCTTTGTTTCCCCTGCCAACTCCACCCTCAGAGCCACCTCTCCTGATGGAGAAAACCAGGAGGCCCTTAGAAAGCTTGGAACAATCCGTTCCTCCATTTCCCCCAAGGAGTTGAAGGAGGAAGTTTTTGGTAGAAAGGATGTAAAGGTTGATGAGAATCTCAGGGTTTCCTGAAAGTACAGTTGGGAACAGGAGGATCGAAGGCAAGCTGGACCAACTCGAGACATGTATATGAGGCCGTGCAGAGCCAGATGCTCAAAATAACAGGAAAGACCACAGAGAAGGTTTGCAGTATGGATTAATACACGCAACACAGCCATTATTTAAGTTAAAAAGGAAAGCATATGGTTTGCCAATGGGGCAGGATATGAGGTTAGAACTGCTTTGGAAACAATCACTGTGAATCTATGCCTAAAAGGAGGCCTCACACACTGGACCTTTGTCCACATTCCTCTTCTGCCACTTATGTGCTGGTGACTTTGGGAAAGTTACTTTGCCTCTCTGGACTCAATTACCTCATTTGTGTAATGCAGGAGCTATTGAGGACACATTCAGATATGAGAGTCCAGGGTTCTTTCATATAATTCTGTTGACTTTGAACTTTTCAGATGAGTTCAAATTGTATGAAACTTCAAAATCAAACAGTTAGAAGGGCCCTTGAGGGTGATCGAATTCATTATTGAAACATTTTAATTATAAAATATTTGATTCATACAGCAAATAAATAGATACAGTTATTAATTAAATACAGTTATTATTAAAATAAATAGATACAGTTATTAAAAAAATAACTCCCATGTGTCCACCACTCAGTTTATGAAATACACCATTTATATCTCCTTAGGAGCTGGCTTGGTGTCTTTTCATGGAGAGTTTTTTGTATTGCTTTTTGATGAACGGAAGTCCTCAGTTTTAATGCAGCTGACTTTATCATTCTGTTACTTATTCTTTTTTTTTTTTTTTAAGGTTTTTATTGTGGATTGAGTGAAAGTTTCCATGGCAGAGCATCAGTTTTACATTCAACAAATCATACATTTGTTTTATTACAATGATTATAATCCTCTCCATGTACCATCAGTTAACAGTATTTCTCTCTATCCACTTTAACTTTTTTTTTTTAAACAACAAACAAAAACCACTGAGGCATATATAATAATTTACACCCCCAAAGAGCACATTCTGTAAGTCTGCCTCCTGGATGCTAGCTCTTAGTCCCTTTCTTCCCATGAATCTAGAGTTCTCAGCTGCTCCCTCTCTCTGTGTCCCCCATCTCTGCCTCCATCTTTGGTGTCTCTGCTTCTCTGGATAAGGTCCTGCATTCCACTTGTGCTCTTCTCCTTTGATGGTCTTAAGGTGCTTTGTTTCTGGGCTGTAAGATTAATTACTCCCTTGTTTTTGTTACAAAACTTCTATCTTTACAATTGTGACAGTCACAATTAGTCATGATAACGATTACTCACTATTGAATCATAAGAATCTTATCCCCATCTCTTTTAACCAGACCTATCTAGACAAGATGAAAACTATTCAGTGGCGATTCTTTCTTCCCCACACACTCTTAAACTAAACTCCCTCCTGACATCTTGTAAGCCAGTTATTTCGTGCCTTTATCACCACTTCATTTTAGGTAGCCAATGTCTAAGTTGCCCATCCCTATCTGCCCTGTGTACAGAAGGGATAGCATTGATACTTTATGTGAAAACTCCTTCCCTCTCTATTGGTATTTAGAGTTACTACATGCATGAGTATAGGGCCAGTTCATCAAATTGTATCAATTTACCTGCATTTCCTTTATCAAAAATAGTTTTATTCTCTTTTTTTCCCTTTTTCCATCTTCCTCTAGTCAAGTTCTGATTATCAAGCCATCAAGGCTTGGTCAAATGGGTGCTATCTGCAACTTTGGGTGTTCTTGTACACCTCCTTTCACTCCATATCAGTTGGATACTTCACTCTCAGCTCTAACCCTCTGTGGCTATGTCCTTGCCCATCGCTCAGGTGTCCCCAGGTCTCACCACACTTTGGACCAACCAGACCTTCCTCTTCTCTCTCTCATCTCCAGGTCTATGGGAGTCTATGGAAGGTGACTGAACTCAGCCCATTTCTTCATTGCTGCCTTTCCCCCTCTTTTACTCACCAGTAGACCAAGCTTACATGCCTGCCCATGTGTTCCCTTTGAGTTTCAGTCTTGGGGGGGGGTGTCATTCCATTACTTTTCTTTATAGCTTTATCACCTACGTATGTTTCCTTACATTGATATTATTTGTTTAGCCTTGCCTGTTTTTGAACTTTATTTTGATGAAACTGTACAGCATTTATTTGTCTGTGCCTATTTCATTCTCAATATTATCTCTGTCGATGCATGTAGCTGCAGTTCATTCATTTTTCATGGCTTTGCAATAGTCCACTGTCTGAGTACATCACAATTAGTCTATTCTACTGCTAATAACCACCACTCGTGGAAACGAAAAAGGAAGAACACACTCAGCATTTCTCAAGTTGGGGGAATTGAGGAAAAAATTCAAGCCTCGACTTTTGTTATAGAAGGATTCTCTGGGCAAATTATTGAATGATGCAGAAAACATCAAAAGGA